GATTTGTCTGGCCAACCTTATCAGCTGTTTTCTTCGCTTATGATAAAGTGAAAGTTTTGTAGATTGGTGGAGCAGATCCACTGAATTTCGGTGTGATGATCAGAGTGATGATGAAGATTTAGAACAATTGCATTTGATGCCGATAATGTCATCTATGTGCCAGTCGAAAAAGTATGCTTAATTTTTTTCTATCAATGCTTATTTTGGCTCGTTATTTTGACGCGCCGTCCAAAATCTCCACCCTCAATTGATCGGAAATTACTTTGTACACGTGGCTCGCAGCAAAATGAAGTTTCAGCTTTAAAAGACGCGCATATGATGCCCATTGACAACAAGAGCTACTGCTTCCAGAAATGCAGCGGAGCAGCTAGTGTGATTCTGCTAGTTGTGATGAATGGTTTGTTAAGCGTTTGTTTGGACAAGTAATTAAATTGGATTTCGGAGCATCCAAACTTACTGGTATTTTTCTGCCGCATCTCCTTGTAGTACGCATTGAAAAAACAGTGTTATCAAAATGGAGCAGTGCTTGTTCTAGATGCATGGCCATCAGTAGTAATGAATTAGAAGAAAATTTGGGTAGTGCGATTGCCTGTATGCGTTTCAACTTTAGGCTTTCTCATAAAATGTGGTTTATGAAATGCCTGCATCGAAATGCTTCCATTCGCTTCCGCTCATACGCAGTTAGTGCGTATTCTCTTCCATCATGTGTTGCCTTGTATTAGTTTCGCATGGTTGGTTAGAATCTTCATTTTTCTCTCGGTATAATATTCAGCTTTGTCGGCGATAAGTTATTGTGTCTCCTCTCTTGCACGTGAGGAATGTTCTATCTTGCCTGTAATCGTCAGGGCCCCTAGCCTATCCAGCATTCTTGTTTCGCAAGGACCCTGTTACCTCTTAGCGATTTAAAAACGAGGGAGTTATGTGTGCGTTAGAATTACTGCTAAATTGCTTACTGTTGAGAGTTTGTAAATTGTGTGTGATGGCTTCTTCAATTATGATTTGTTCGTTCATGTTAAGTCGGCATCATTTGATTTGTTGTTGAATTTGATAACTTTTCTGCTAGCGGCGTCATTAAAGGCGCACGTCATCGAAATTGGCCTTTCGGTTTCCTTTTTGTGATATTCGGTAAGCGAGTTTGAAGGGAAGATTGGAATTTATTCTATATATATTGTTTCATAGACCCAAGACGATTAACTATAAAATTTGTTTTTGTGAGGAGGTCGTTGTATCCGCGCAAAGTAAAATGGTATTTTGTGCAAGAAGGCCAAGAAGGTTCCATGGAATGAGGCTTCATTTCAATGGTGTCCTTTCTGGAGAAGCTAAGTCATAATTCCGCGTGGGTTGCTTGCAAACTGTCAACTCCGATTTTCGGCGTCAATTGGAAGTTTATCGTCTCCAGAATGATGTCGTTTTGAGTCACAGTACAGCTCAGTAAGGTGCAAAGAATGTGCTTCTTTACGCACCGGTTCCAAATCCAAATGCCTGAAATAGGCATTGAGAGATGAGAATTAGTCAGTGTTAACCGTCGCTGTTGGTCATTTCCTACCGGGAATTGTATTTCGTGGATTGGAGCGGTCATACTTCTGGCTCTGAGCATTGGTGATTTGGGAAGGGATTGCGCATTTGAGATCTGTTGTAGTGGAGGCGAAAAGTGGAAACTGTTATTGGCGGATTTTTTTACCATTTTGTTTCCAATTGCACGAAGGAATACATGAATTGTAGTAAGGAAAAGATGGACCTAAACCAAAATAGTCATGGAACGTTGAAGCAGGCGCGTCCTAATTGGCTACTAAGAGATGAGCTTACCAAATATGGCAGTTTTCGAACGAGGGACCAACGAGGTCAGTGTGGGGTGTCACCGACCCTCTCCATCAATATTGCGCAACCCATTCTCGCACTTCCAGCGCCATAGCAAAAGTGATTACGATATTGTGCTGGCGGAACATGCTTGCACAGTAGACCTAATTGCCTTACCACTGCTCATTCGCAGCCACTCTGGATAGGTCTTTTCAACGAGATTAATGCTAAAAACCCAACGCGAACGGTGAAACCTTGCGAAGATTTTTCCGCCTAGTAGAACTGTAACATTTCCAAATCTTTGTAAATTTGTTGGTCTGCTTTCGGCAAGTGTTGGATTTATGATGAGTTTTTATTTCGTATGCAAAAATGTTTCGTTTCGTTTGAGCCGAGATATGCCGGGTCAACCGTTCGTTGGTCAAAGTCCAACGAGAGGGTGGGGGTCGTATTACTGTGGATACTTTGATACTTTGATGCTCTTGTCAGGCCCGCGATCCTCAGGCGCGAGGCACACGCTTCCTCCATTTTTTGACGATCTTGAAGCGGTTTGGGCGCGCAGTGTTGCCAGCATCTTCTTGAAAGTTTCTTCAGGGAGTCTCTCGCCCTCGTGTGCCAGAGCGGCCAAGTGTGCGCTTCACGTCTCGTGGATACCAGAACGTAACGCGTTGTGGTCGCACGCGGATACATCGCATGCGTCTGACCACCAATGTCCGGCCCATCGTTTCTTTTGCGTCCCCATGTATACACTGCGGCGTCACCGGATACCCAGACATTAAGCGCAAATGTCTGTCTGCGGCAAATTGCGGCTTCTCTGCTCCCCGCGTTAATGTTCAGACAATGTCCGCTCCAGCGCTGCTTTGTCGCGAGTCAACATCATCGTAGACGTCTTTGTTCTCGCCACAGCTGTCTCGGATTCGTAGCAGAGTGCGGGCAGTACCGTAAGAGTTGAATTAGGTCAGCTCGTTAACCTTTCCTTGTCCGAGATGACTGAGCCGCCTCTTTGATAGCTTCCCATTGCCGTCCATGCCGCATTTCTTGCGACACTCATGATCTCTGCGCGCAGTTTTATCCATCGGAAGATGAGTCGACCGAGGTGACATCATAGCAGTCGCTGTCCGGGAGTGCGGCGCCTCCGAGTACGATGAGTGACGCAATTGGCCCATTCGTTCGCGCATGACCATTGTCTTGTTACGGTTTATGCGTGAGGCCAATGCTATGGGCCGACATCGTCCAATCCTCCACCATCTGCTGTAGTTCCTTTTGTCTTGAACCTGATTGAGGAACGATGTCGTCTGCGCAGCCGTAAGTTAGACAACTTCTGCCAGTCGATGTCGAGTGCCTCTATCATCCCAGTCCAGCTGTAGCATCGCGCGTGGTTGAGGCAGGCTGGTTGAATAGCTGGGAGGAGATCGTGTCACCTTGCTGACTTCCTTTTTCAATCGGCACGCGTAGCTCTCGTTGAAACAAGCGCAAGATGGTGGTGAATGTGTCGCGTGTTGCCTGTTCCAGCAGGTTGATGTAGCACGGTCGACGCCTGAACCATGGTGTACATGCGTTCCAGACAGAGTTGAGCTCGTCCACACTGTCGATGCCCTTCGGCATAGTCGTGAGCAGAGAAGGAGTGCTGCTCAGTATTTTCCTTGGTCCGCTCGATCAGCTTGCCGTGACGGTGTGGAATGTGTCGCATACAACAGAAAGCCCTTGCGGAACCCGCGCCTGCTCCACTTGGTTGATAGTCGTCCAGCTGCCTTTCCAGTCTGTTTGAAGTAAATGCTTATCGGTGAACAGCTTGTACAACTGTGAGAGGGCGCAATGGCACGATAGTTCTTTCATTTGATACGCGCTCGCCTTTTTCTTGACAAAGCACCCCGTATTTGACGTCTTTCCACTGGTCCGGGATCTTCCTGCTCTGTCCGAGGTACTTATTATATAGCGCTTTGTGAGCTGCTTTGATGACAGTGTAGGACGCTCGGTACTTCAGAAAGTCCCAGCTGAGATGCGATCCGGTCGCGGGTGCTTTTACTCGGCTTCATGCTGACGTAAGCGTGCTCTATCTCCCCAGCCACTCTTCTATCCGCGGACCACCTCTCGTGTTGGCGTAGGGATACGGGAAACCGGTGTCGTCGATCGGAAAGGTCCGTAATAGAGCTGAACGGGCAATCTCCTCAATCTTCGGTTCTCAGATGTCTGCGGTCCGCCATCGCGTCTCTCCATGACAGTTATGATCGAGGAGAGTCACTTATTTCCCCGACAGACATCGCTTGAGGCTGCGCTCTCAACTTCTGGGCCGCTTCCTCAGTCTGAGTGTCTTGTATCGCTTAATCGACTCCTTCACAGCGTATCGGCACGCCTTTGTTAATACGTAGCACGTTCCAGTGGTGTGGATGCATGAGTTAGCGGTGGACGGCAGCCCGTTCTTTTGGCGGAGCGTACGAGCATCTGTCCATTAAATTACCTACTTCTTCGAGTTTCAATCTTCCTGTCACAACCGATGCGTTGCGACTGTACATACAAGTCCTTCTAAAAAGCAAGTCGTAGTCCTTTGACAAGTCCTGTGCCTTCCTGCCATGTGTAGTTGGCAGCGGCCGCCTCCATGGCGTTTATGTCGTTAACGTGGCGGCAGTCGTAATGGGTGGAGGTTCGATAGTGGTCTGTCTTCGGAGTTTATTGCTCGGAGGTCGAACTTTAGCGCCGGAACGAGTCTATGGTCGCTTCCCGGTGCGGATGGCACCTACCACACTGACGTCTAGGCAAACTCCACTTTCTGTTCGGAGAATATGGCGATTTCGCTGTGAAGGTCTCTGCGTTAGGGCTAACCCATGTCATCTCGCCCCACGTTTTTCATGAAAGAGGCTGTTTCCGTGGAAGAGGTTGCATCTGTTCTAGGAAGTCGATCAAACGGTCTCCGTTTTCGTGTTGTATCTCCGCTTCGTGTGGTCATGCGCGCTGTCGCCGGCTTTCTCGTGGATTGACTGCGTTTGAAGTCCTCACAACAAAGTATCTTGTAGTACGAACGCCTCTTCTTCGTTAGCCCTCCTCCAGCTTCCTTATAAAACGTGTTCTTTTTCTGCCATCCGTTGCAGCTACGTTGGCGGCGTAACAAGTTAATAATGCTGATTAAGAGGTGCGCTTCGTCGATGCGTAGGCGAGACACGCCAGTCGCGGGCCGAAATACCTCGGTTGAAGTCGTACCAAGTGTCATCCGTTGGTTGGACCGAGGAAATCGACGGCCGCCAACGCTTCTTCATCGCACTTTGGCTCATAGGAAACAAGTAGGTGGCCGTCGTTTGTTTTGCGCTTGTGGATGTTTCCTTGGTTTTTGTTTCCTGGCAGGGCGATGACGTCCAAAGCGAAGCTTTCTGCTGGCCTCACATCAGATGTTCGGGGCGCTGAAGGCGATGTACGACCAGTTGTATGGTGCAAAATTCGTAGAACAGTCCCCATGCCTCGTCGGCTTTTCTTCCTGTGCACTCCAAATCCTGCGGCGGTTTTTGTCTGCAGAAATACCCTTTCAGGTTTCGCCGTTTGCTCCAGTCACTTAGAGCTCGTGCTTCCATCTGCGCCGCCCCCGACCCTTTTGTGACCGTGTTTGTAACGCGTAATTTACCGACCCTCGGTACTAGCGCCATTGAGGCGGTGATTACTCGCACTATTAGCACGGGGTTTCTCCCGTTCGCGGGCCCCTCGCCGCTTCGAAGACTAGTGGTAGGCATTTGGAGGGGGGCGTATTTGGTGCCAGGTGGAAAAGGGGGGGTCGTATTTCGCGAGGTGAGCTTCAAATGTTATGAGAAAGCGGAAAGGATGTTTTTTTTTTTATGAAGCGGATAGTTGGTTCTTGCAGGCTGGGCTTTTGGGTTGAGTGTGAGTGTGAAAAACGTGGCGGAGCTGCTGTGTCGACTGATCGCCCCCGACAGGCAGGGTGGTGGAGGATGGTCGTGAGGAGTTGACGGCCTGGGGGGGGTCGTATCGAGGCCCTCCAGAAGGGGAAGGGGGGTCGTAAATTTTCGAAATGGTCCAAAGTGAGCGGTTGATCTTTGCGCCAAAGATCTGCCTGTGTCACAGTGTCTGTATGTTTACCAATTTCGGTAGCTCTTCAGTAAACCCTTGCAGAGTCCGGGTCTAAGTATGGATGAGTGAGCCCTGGCGTCGAAAAGTATAAAACAATTCGATCACCCAAGTGGCGCCTCGTTGCACCAGTAGTGTGGCGTGAACCAGCAAGCGATTCTGACGATGAAAGTTCACAAATTCGAATTTTAAAACAGCCTAGAGACGCCGGGGAAAATGGGTAAAGGTGTACATGGATAAAGCCAGATCCAATCAGGGGGACCCACCTTCTTGGATGGGGCGTTCTTCACAAAAGCGGTAATCAAATAAAAATCCAAAATATTAGGAGAGCTTTACAGAACGGCGGAAAAAAAATTGAATGCCCTGGGAGAATTTTGAGGCTTTCAAACTGCGTAGTGATTTCAGCAGGGGCCCATCCGCAATTGGTGCTACGAGAGAGACTGCGCCACGACATCGCAAATTTTTGTAGTATTAGAAATTTGTGAAAATTTTACCTTACTCATGTATAATTTATATTTAGAATTAATCTTTTCTCCGTAAATGGTAATGTGAATATTGGTAGTATAAGCAAGTGTATTGCGCACTAATTAGATCGCAATCGGAACAGCCTTTGAATAGTGGAGGGCTCCCAAGTGAGTAGGGCACTCCCCTGTGGTCTACACACTCCAACTTTTGCCACACGGTGCGTGGTTCACCCACTCCGGAGTTTCGCTCCCCTCCCCTAAGCTTAGTCCTAGGCGCCATAGGTGAGAAAGCCTAGAAAACCAGAAAATATGCGTTAAACAACGCGAATGTTAAAAACCAGTGTCATATTCGTGATCAGCGCCCCAAATAGCCCCTATTCAGAAGTTTACAGCGAATTTGGTGTTAATCAGTAGTGGCGTCAGCTGGCGCCGAAAAAGGATATCATATTCGTGATCAGGACCCTCGATAACCTCCATAGCAAAAGTTTCAGCGAAAATTATTTTTTGACCCATCTCGGCCCCCACTGGGGTTGTAATAATGCAATAGTGCCAAAAGTTGCATTCAATGAGAAACCAAGGCAGAGAAGGGGGTTCCATTTCTCGGGGTGTGGGTCGTTTCCCATGGTATTTCTTAGTACCTGGACGGCTGACCACCTTTAACTTGGTTTTCAGGGCTGTATTTTCATCATGAACCCCGCCTACAACAAAGACGTTCCTTCAGTTTCTGGTTACGGTCTGGTTGCGGTGCGCTGGTATCAATGAATTAGAAGGAAAAACGATTTTTTTCAGCGAGATACTTTTGACGATAAGCAAGAATATTGATACCTATACTCCTCTCCGACAGTTATCGATCGGTGGTTGAGACGTGAAGAGAATGCTTGGAATAGTGTCGGACTAAGAACACTAGCCAGTAGGTTCAACATGGTGCGTTGTACGACTAAAGGTGCTTGATCCAACATGAAGCGATGAATAGTTCCACACCTAACGCAAAAATTTCGTTAACATATTTCATACACTTGATTATACTACCAATATACACATTACATTTACGGAGAAAAATTAATTCTAAATATAAATTATTACATGAGTAAGTAAATTTCAAATTTCTAATACTACAAAAATTTGCGTGTCGTGGCGCAGTCTCTCTCGAGCACCAATTGCGGATGGGCCCCTGCTGAAATCACTACGCAGTTTGAAAGCCTCAAAATTCTCCCAGGGCATTCAATTTTTTTTCCGCCGTTCTGTAAAGCTCTCCTAATATTTTGGATTTTTATTTGATTACCGCTTTTGTGAAGAACGCCCCATCCAAGAAGGTGGGTCCCCCTGATTGGATCTGGCTTTATCCATGTACACCTTTACCCATTTTCCCCGGCGTCTCTAGGCTGTTTTAAAATTCGAATTTGTGAACTTTCATCGTCAGAATCGCTTGCTGGTTCACGCCACACTACTGGTGCAACGAGGCGCCACTTGGGTGATCGAATTGTTTTATACTTTTCGACGCCAGGGCTCACTCATCCATACTTAGACCCGGACTCTGCAAGGGTTTACTGAAGAGCTACCGAAATTGGTAAACATACAGACACTGTGACACAGGCAGATCTTTGGCGCAAAGATCAACCGCTCACTTTGGACCATTTCGAAAATTTACGACCCCCCTTCCCCTTCTGGAGGGCCTCGATACGACCCCCCCCAGGCCGTCAACTCCTCACGACCATCCTCCACCACCCTGCCTGTCGGGGGCGATCAGTCGACACAGCAGCTCCGCCACGTTTTTCACACTCACACTCAACCCAAAAGCCCAGCCTGCAAGAACCAACTATCCGCTTCATAAAAAAAAAAACATCCTTTCCGCTTTCTCATAACATTTGAAGCTCACCTCGCGAAATACGACCCCCCCTTTTCCACCTGGCACCAAATACGCCCCCCTCCAAATGCCTACCACTAGTCTTCGAAGCGGCGAGGGGCCCGCGAACGGGAGAAACCCCGTGCTAATAGTGCGAGTAATCACCGCCTCAATGGCGCTAGTACCGAGGGTCGGTAAATTACGCGTTACAAACACGGTCACAAAAGGGTCGGGGGCGGCGCAGATGGAAGCACGAGCTCTAAGTGACTGGAGCAAACGGCGAAACCTGAAAGGGTATTTCTGCAGACAAAAACCGCCGCAGGATTTGGAGTGCACAGGAAGAAAAGCCGACGAGGCATGGGGACTGTTCTACGAATTTTGCACCATACAACTGGTCGTACATCGCCTTCAGCGCCCCGAACATCTGATGTGAGGCCAGCAGAAAGCTTCGCTTTGGACGTCATCGCCCTGCCAGGAAACAAAAACCAAGGAAACATCCACAAGCGCAAAACAAACGACGGCCACCTACTTGTTTCCTATGAGCCAAAGTGCGATGAAGAAGCGTTGGCGGCCGTCGATTTCCTCGGTCCAACCAACGGATGACACTTGGTACGACTTCAACCGAGGTATTTCGGCCCGCGACTGGCGTGTCTCGCCTACGCATCGACGAAGCGCACCTCTTAATCAGCATTATTAACTTGTTACGCCGCCAACGTAGCTGCAACGGATGGCAGAAAAAGAACACGTTTTATAAGGAAGCTGGAGGAGGGCTAACGAAGAAGAGGCGTTCGTACTACAAGATACTTTGTTGTGAGGACTTCAAACGCAGTCAATCCACGAGAAAGCCGGCGACAGCGCGCATGACCACACGAAGCGGAGATACAACACGAAAACGGAGACCGTTTGATCGACTTCCTAGAACAGATGCAACCTCTTCCACGGAAACAGCCTCTTTCATGAAAAACGTGGGGCGAGATGACATGGGTTAGCCCTAACGCAGAGACCTTCACAGCGAAATCGCCATATTCTCCGAACAGAAAGTGGAGTTTGCCTAGACGTCAGTGTGGTAGGTGCCATCCGCACCGGGAAGCGACCATAGACTCGTTCCGGCGCTAAAGTTCGACCTCCGAGCAATAAACTCCGAAGACAGACCACTATCGAACCTCCACCCATTACGACTGCCGCCACGTTAACGACATAAACGCCATGGAGGCGGCCGCTGCCAACTACACATGGCAGGAAGGCACAGGACTTGTCAAAGGACTACGACTTGCTTTTTAGAAGGACTTGTATGTACAGTCGCAACGCATCGGTTGTGACAGGAAGATTGAAACTCGAAGAAGTAGGTAATTTAATGGACAGATGCTCGTACGCTCCGCCAAAAGAACGGGCTGCCGTCCACCGCTAACTCATGCATCCACACCACTGGAACGTGCTACGTATTAACAAAGGCGTGCCGATACGCTGTGAAGGAGTCGATTAAGCGATACAAGACACTCAGACTGAGGAAGCGGCCCAGAAGTTGAGAGCGCAGCCTCAAGCGATGTCTGTCGGGGAAATAAGTGACTCTCCTCGATCATAACTGTCATGGAGAGACGCGATGGCGGACCGCAGACATCTGAGAACCGAAGATTGAGGAGATTGCCCGTTCAGCTCTATTACGGACCTTTCCGATCGACGACACCGGTTTCCCGTATCCCTACGCCAACACGAGAGGTGGTCCGCGGATAGAAGAGTGGCTGGGGAGATAGAGCACGCTTACGTCAGCATGAAGCCGAGTAAAAGCACCCGCGACCGGATCGCATCTCAGCTGGGACTTTCTGAAGTACCGAGCGTCCTACACTGTCATCAAAGCAGCTCACAAAGCGCTATATAATAAGTACCTCGGACAGAGCAGGAAGATCCCGGACCAGTGGAAAGACGTCAAATACGGGGTGCTTTGTCAAGAAAAAGGCGAGCGCGTATCAAATGAAAGAACTATCGTGCCATTGCGCCCTCTCACAGTTGTACAAGCTGTTCACCGATAAGCATTTACTTCAAACAGACTGGAAAGGCAGCTGGACGACTATCAACCAAGTGGAGCAGGCGCGGGTTCCGCAAGGGCTTTCTGTTGTATGCGACACATTCCACACCGTCACGGCAAGCTGATCGAGCGGACCAAGGAAAATACTGAGCAGCACTCCTTCTCTGCTCACGACTATGCCGAAGGGCATCGACAGTGTGGACGAGCTCAACTCTGTCTGGAACGCATGTACACCATGGTTCAGGCGTCGACCGTGCTACATCAACCTGCTGGAACAGGCAACACGCGACACATTCACCACCATCTTGCGCTTGTTTCAACGAGAGCTACGCGTGCCGATTGAAAAAGGAAGTCAGCAAGGTGACACGATCTCCTCCCAGCTATTCAACCAGCCTGCCTCAACCACGCGCGATGCTACAGCTGGACTGGGATGATAGAGGCACTCGACATCGACTGGCAGAAGTTGTCTAACTTACGGCTGCGCAGACGACATCGTTCCTCAATCAGGTTCAAGACAAAAGGAACTACAGCAGATGGTGGAGGATTGGACGATGTCGGCCCATAGCATTGGCCTCACGCATAAACCGTAACAAGACAATGGTCATGCGCGAACGAATGGGCCAATTGCGTCACTCATCGTACTCGGAGGCGCCGCACTCCCGGACAGCGACTGCTATGATGTCACCTCGGTCGACTCATCTTCCGATGGATAAAACTGCGCGCAGAGATCATGAGTGTCGCAAGAAATGCGGCATGGACGGCAATGGGAAGCTATCAAAGAGGCGGCTCAGTCATCTCGGACAAGGAAAGGTTAACGAGCTGACCTAATTCAACTCTTACGGTACTGCCCGCACTCTGCTACGAATCCGAGACAGCTGTGGCGAGAACAAAGACGTCTACGATGATGTTGACTCGCGACAAAGCAGCGCTGGAGCGGACATTGTCTGAACATTAACGCGGGGAGCAGAGAAGCCGCAATTTGCCGCAGACAGACATTTGCGCTTAATGTCTGGGTATCCGGTGACGCCGCAGTGTATACATGGGGACGCAAAAGAAACGATGGGCCGGACATTGGTGGTCAGACGCATGCGATGTATCCGCGTGCGACCACAACGCGTTACGTTCTGGTATCCACGAGACGTGAAGCGCACACTTGGCCGCTCTGGCACACGAGGGCGAGAGACTCCCTGAAGAAACTTTCAAGAAGATGCTGGCAACACTGCGCGCCCAAACCGCTTCAAGATCGTCAAAAAATGGAGGAAGCGTGTGCCTCGCGCCTGAGGATCGCGGGCCTGACAAGAGCATCAAAGTATCAAAGTATCCACAGTAATACGACCCCCACCCTCTCGTTGGACTTTGACCAACGAACGGTTGACCCGGCATATCTCGGCTCAAACGAAACGAAACATTTTTGCATACGAAATAAAAACTCATCATAAATCCAACACTTGCCGAAAGCAGACCAACAAATTTACAAAGATTTGGAAATGTTACAGTTCTACTAGGCGGAAAAATCTTCGCAAGGTTTCACCGTTCGCGTTGGGTTTTTAGCATTTAATCTCGTTGAAAAGACTATCCAGATGGCTGGAAATGTAGCAGTTGGTAGGCAATAGGTTTACTGTGCAAGACGTTCGCAGCACAGTATCGTAGTTCACTTTTTGCATGGTTGGAAGTGCAAGAAGGGGCTGCGCAATATTGTGGAAAGGGTCGGTGACACCCACCTAATGGTAAGACCTCTTTGGTCCTTCCTTGAACAACTGCATATTTGGTAACCTCATCTCAGTTAGCCTAATTAGGAAGCGGCCTGTTCAACGTTCCTGCAGATTTGGTTTAGTCGAGACTCTCAGTCCATCCTTTTCCTACTCATTTCCTTCGTGCAATGGTAAACAAAATTTAAAAAAGTCCGCCAATAACAGTCCACTTCCCACCTCACTACAACAGAATCTCAAATGCGATCCCCTTCCCAAATCACAATACTCAGACCCAGAAGTATGACCCCTCCAATCACGAATACAATCCCGGTAGGTAAATTACCAACAGACGGTTAACACTGACTAATTCTCATCTCTCCAAATGCTGTTTTTAGCATTTGGATTTGGAACCGGGCGTAAAGAATCACATCCTCTGCACCTTACCTGAGCTGTACTGTGACTTCAACGACATCATTCTGGAGACGATAAACTTCCAAATTGACGCCGAGAAACTCGAGTACAGTTTGTAAGCCAACCCACGCGGAAGTACGACTTAGATTCTCCATAAAGGACACCATGAAATGAATCCTCATTCATGGAACCTTTTTGGCTTCTATACACAAAATACCATTACTTGCACGGATACAACGACCTCTCACAAAAACAAATTTTATATAATCTTCATTGGTTCTACTGAAACAAATATTATAGAATAAATTCCAATCTTCCCTTCAAACTCGTTACCGAATATCACAAAAAGGAAACCGAAATGGCCAATCGATTAGACGTGCGCCTTAATGACGCCGCTAGTAGAAAAGTTATCAAATTAAAACAAATCAATGATGCCCGACTTAAGCATGAACGACAAATCATATGAAGAAGCATCACACCAAATTACAACTCTCCACAGTAAGCAATTTAGCACTAATTCTACGCACACATAACTCCCTCGTTTCAAATCGCTAAGAGGTAAACAGGTCCCTGCGAAACAAGAATGCTGATAGGCTAGGGGCCCTGACGAGTTACAGGAAGTTAGAACTTCCTCACGTGAAGAGAGGAGACACATAACTTATCGCGACAAAGCTGAATATTATACCGAGAGAAAAATGAAGATCTAACCAACATGCGAACTATACAAGGCAACAATTGATGACGAGAATACGCACTAACTGCGTTGAGCGGAAGGAATGGAAGCATTTCGATGAGGCATTTATAAACCACAATTTTATGAAGAAAGCTAAAGTGAAACGCATACAGGAATCGCACTACCCAATTTCTTCTAATTCATTACTTACTGAGGCCATGCGTCTAGAACAAGCACTTCTCTTTTGATAACACTGTTTTTCAATGCGTACTACAAGGAATGCGCAGAAAATACAGTAAGTTTGGAGCGAAATCCAATTAATTACTTTGTCCAGCCAAACGCTTAAAACCATTCATCACAATAGCAAATCACCACTCAGCTTCTCCGCTGCATTTCTGGAAGCAGTAGTCTTTGTTGTCAATGTGCATTATGCCGTCTTTTAGCTGAAACTTCCATTTGCTGCGAGCACGATGTACCTAAAGTAATTCGATCAATGAGGAGATTTTGGACGCCTGTCAAAATAACGAGCCAAAATAAGATTGTAGAAAAAAATTAACATACTTTTTCGAACTGGCACATGATGACATTATCGGCATCAAACAATGTTTCTAAATCTTCATCATCACTCTGATCATCACCCGAATTCAGTGGATCTTCTTCCACAATCTACAAAACTTTCACTTTATCATAGCGAAGAAAACAGCTGAATAAAGGTTGGCCAAGACAAATCATGAATATAAAACTCCCGTAATAACGTCGGATTAGTCCAAGGAATTGTGATCAGTAATCAAAACTAGAACGTCAAGCCCTGCTTAGAATCTTTCGCTTATAGGGCAGCGCAAACAAACAAGGGGCGAATGGGAAGGTGAGAATAATGAATGAAAGTTAACACTCAGTACTTCATGAAGCCTGCAGAATGTTACAAAAGTTTTGAAGTCCGAACTGTGCATTATATCGGGAGAAAAACCCAGATAAGAAGCTGTGCACGCTGTTCAGGAGATCGAGGGTAGGGCGCTGGCGGCGACATGCACGAAGCACTTGCTCTTTCCCATGATGAAATGTCCGTGATATTTCTAGATTGCATACAAAGGAAGACAATAACCAGTTATATTTTTATGAAATTGAACTAATTCATGCAGCAGAATGAACTGCACTGAATTATTCGAATGGTCACGCCATCTTGACATAGCAAGCCGAAACAACTGGTCAAGAAATGCGCCCGTCGCCACTCGGTTCCCGGAAAACATCAATCATGAATCTTCTCACGATAATCTATTCCTATTCAAACTGTGTCCAAAATTCTGTACTTATGGCGGCCAAGTAATTTTTCGTCTCTGATTATTGTTGGAACAACGAGTACCAGGCCATCCTATTGCTCCCACTTTAGCATCTTCTGGATGACGGGAAGACGAGACAGGACGCAAGTTATCCGGTATGTAGCGCAATCGCAACGCGTACGGACTGCTACTGGTGGTTGCGACTTTTTTCATGCACTTAGTTTTGCATTTCCTGACTATCCGACTCTAGCTTTGCCAAATGTAATAAAATAATTAAGATGTTGGTAACAACAGTGTAGCTGTTATGGAAACATCTCTGCCACTTTCGTGAAAGTATTGCGCATGCCTCCTGCTTCGAGAAAGAAGGATAATCAACTTTCACTTACTGCTTGTTCGCCATCCTCAATCTGACCATCGCCAATTCTGTCTGCAATGCGGCGGATAGGATCATCATCGTCATCAACCTATAATACGAGGACTAAGAACTAGTCCTTATAAAAGGTTGACAACTGCGGTGAAGTAACGCAAGTGAAAATAAACACCTCTTCCTCTTCACTAGAAGAGTCTGACATGCCACCACCTCCTCCACCATCCAACTGCAAAGCCGTCAATAGGTCTCTCGCTATCCGCAACGCTTCACGATCTCAAAAAAAAATCAGCATAGATGCAAAAAGCTGTTACGCAAATGTTCAGAATGAAGTACATTAAGGCAGCTCACCCTCACCAGTCACATCGCCTTTTTTCTTCAACACGCGTTTGTGAGATTTCTGAGCTGTTGTTTTCGATGAACAAGGAAGGTCAGAGGAACTCTAAATGGCAACATATGCATACCATTTCTACAGTTACTCTTGAACTTGGAAACTGTTGTCACCATTTCATTTGAATCCTCAACAAAGCAATCGTTCCCATCCAATTGATGCAGTTGGTGACCTCCATGTGCTTGCTGCAACCGATGTTGAAGCACTCCATTAGGTCCAACTGTTACGGGGATTTGTTGTCCTTAAAAAACATCGAAATTCATGCAATACAAATCACCCTACTTTGAAATCAATGTACTAGCAGCACAATATTCAATGGATCCATTGAAGTAAAAGAAGCAGAACAAACCGTTCGCTTGTTGTAAATACATTACGGGATGTTGAATTTGCTGTCCGCTTTGTGCAATGACAAACTGCTGCCCGGGCTGAGGTTGAATGGCCTGGACCATTCGAATACCAGTTTGAGGAGTGAAAGACACACTGGCCGGCATATTTCCTTGTTGCACTTGCTGAAAGAAAGACCAGTGTCGATTTGAACAACATGATGCTTGTTTCAAGTTCGCGCTCTTCATCTCTTCTGCCTAGCGTGGATTTGAGTCGGAATTTGCCCCGATATATATGGATGGAAAAAATTTCACTGGTGACTGTTCCACATCCTGTGCACTACATAATATCACTTCATTACATGAAAACTCTTAGCCTTTGCAAAGGGCGTCCAAAGAGAGAAAACCTCGGCTCCCAGGTTTCAGAGACAAAGGCGCGTGCACCTGGCATTTGCGCCTCAAACAAATAGGACTTTCCTGTTAAGGAACTGAAGCTACCCAAAGAACTAAATTTCTCGTCAAGTCGAAATTTCAATACCAACATAGAAAAGTAGAACAACAATGTGTAAAGAAGCGCTGTTCTTCTAACGCAAAAGAAACTCTGATCTTCATAAACTACCAAAGGAATAAGCATCGCTAATACCACACCCAGGACCAATAATTTGTAAATATAAAATCACTTGTGACCACCACTTGAGTTGGCCGAATGTATTATATTATGGGACCATTGAACAAAATACGCTGAGCAGATACAAATTAGTGACAATGAAACAGAACAGCTGCTAGTGGTTAACCACAACGCTAAAAGATCTAGGGAAAAAACCCTCTGAAGCACTTCTGAGAACACAAAATGTACTTCAGATTCTTATGCGGCGCAGCCCTTTCTAGAAAAGCCCATGGAAGAGCCAGTAGTCTCTAGCACACTCTTACACACTTGAAACACCCGTTATATTTTGATGCACCAAAATGTTTGAAGACTGAGTTTTTTTTTTTACCCAAAACACCGATTCAAGCACTGTCCCTCCAATCAAAAGTATCTGACAAAACGTTGGCCCAATTATCATAGTTGCAGCAAACACTGGTTATCGGCCCATATGGGATAGTATAGTAAAATAAAGGTATTAAGGGCTTCCAGAATTCATTGAAGGGGGGGGGGGGGACCCATGCAAAATTATTGCAGATAGATTAGTATGACTGAAATGTGCGACAGCTTGAATAATTAGTACGTGTCGAACTGTACCGTGTACGGGGGATATAAAAATCATAGTCATCTCACTTTTCGAGCACACCTAAATATCGTAAGAAAGCGCTTCGTCCGTTTGCGTTCTAGTCTGATCGTGCTGTACGGGTCTGTCACTGGACAGTTCCGCTTTAGCTCCTTCGGGATCTGCTGAGGACCGGGTCAAGTGTGGGTATGGTGGGCGAAAGTCTGACATCGGAACTATGCTACGGGAAACACCATGAGCTAAACGCGGAGCCACGCCCACGTTCGGGGTGAGTCCGTGCTTCGAAACGTGAAGCTTGTACTCGCACCGACCCGAGATTTTCCAATTCTTCAATTAGATAAACGATAACTGTGAAATACTGGACACGCAAAAAATGGGAGGAAGGTGCTGATCATTAAAGGTAAGTCACATACGTAATTAGGGGAACCAACCCGTGGCGGCGTTCTCCAAAAAAGCAGGCTTTGTGAAAATTCCATAACTCGTGGAGAAAAGCTACAGCGCGCAGAAAACAAATTGCTGTAGGGGAGCAATGTCTAATGAGGTATCCCTGGTTCAAGACGTTCGGATTGGCGAGTATACTCTAATGTCACCAGGAAAACGTGTAGGGCGGTTTGTGAAGCGACTCGCACTAACGATTCTTATAGAGTTAACTTAAAGACTATTTTGCTGCGTGGCACTTTTCTATTTCGGCAGCCACACCGTGATTAAAATCAAGGAAGAGGTGAAGAGATTTGCGAGGAGAGAATATGGAGCGAAGGCAAACCTCGCAGTTTCACGTGCGTTCAGCTATCGGTGGCCACGCACGGGTGGAAATTAGCGTGCCCTCGGCAACCGGTTTAAGTGGGCGGAGTTTGCGACAAAAATTAATAACTCGGCTCCAACAAGTCCCGGAGGCCGGGAAAAAGATGGATAGAGGTGGGTGGAGGAGTGGAGGTCAGCTGTCATCAGTGAGCGGGCTTGGCCTAAGTGGGCGGAGGTTGATAAAAGGGTCGCAATTCGGTTCGAAGAAGTCCTAGAGATAGAGAAGAACGGGTTAGAGATTGGCGAAAGGAAGAGGGCCAAATGCTATTGGTGGGCGGGGCACGCACCGAAGTGGGCCGGGTCTGCCATGAGATCTATTGCCCGGAAGCAGTCCGAAGACCGGGAAAAAGAGGATATTGGTTAACGAAGAAAACGAGGTTGAAAGCCGTCGATGGTGGAGCGGGTAGAATTTAGCTGAGAAGTCAGATTTTCGTCGTGTATCTGGCCAAATTTGAAAATTTTCGCCGCATCATCAAAAGTCGCCGCAAATCTGTTTGTGCGCGCAATGCGTGCGGCGCCAACTGGTTTTACAATAATACGATAAAAGCATGTAGTGCAATTTAAAGCAACAACCCCAGACGGGTTCATATTTTTGCTATTCATGGAGTGGAAAGATGCGTAAGGCTTAGTCGGGGACATACGTAGTGCCGTTGAAGCAAAAACTCACCTTAGAGGGCCGCTAAGGAACTGGATACTTGTGCAGTCCGCCTTCTTATCGCCACGCCCACTTGCCAGCCGTGGATCGCGTAATTGGCTGCGTGATCCTTGCGCGATTACGCGCAAACTGTGGTCACGTTTGAAGGAACGCAACCAAACTTTGACTGGTTTAAATTGTTTAGATCACTTGATAATCGCATTTTATTGTCTGTGTGTGTGCATATACCTTTGTTTGCACTGGTGCGTATGCAAATGCAACCGCAATCTTGCTCACACGGCGCCAACAACAAATGTCGGCGGAGCAAGCCATCAAACAACTCGTCCGGCCAAACCCCTTCGTTATTTCAAGTGGGATCCCTTTTTGAAGGTTTCATCGGCGGTTTTCTTCGTCTCTTTTGTTCATTTTCAGTCAACTTGGCATCCGCAATTTCACTACCGACAGCTTTTACCCCGCCAATCTGGTCTGGAGCTGTTGCTTTGAAAATCATTCAGTGAATCAGGTTCAATGGACTATCTAACCTGAACTTGGATTTGCTGCATGCCCTGTTGTGGCACGTATTGCATTTGCATTGGTCTTCCTTGTTCAATATGGTTCATCATGCCAGAATGCGATTGAGAGACCATCTTAAATGAGATTGCATAGTCATAAATCGCACATCAAATACAATTTTAAAGAACAAAACCTGAGGGGCAGTCTGAAGGCGAACTTGTGTTACTGTGCCCATGCGAGGTTGCATGACATGGCCACGCATTGGTGGAGGAGCTACTTGATGAGGAGCATGTGGAGCATGAGTGTGCCGAGGCTCCATATCTACACATCCGCTAGCAATTACTTTATCTTCCCATTCCTAAAACAAATTGTAAGATGAAATTTTTTGACATTTTCGAAATTAGGCATGAAAAAATCAAGAAAAGTTGCACTATTCTGCATAGCACAGCAGCAAATTGTAAGTGCGAATGTCCATGTCGAGGACTAGAAAACGTTAATTTCTGCTTCGTGGCAGTAGGTATGATACTCGTATTCAGGGTATCAAACTACCTCTAGAAACGAGTTTCTATCCAAACCTGAGGCAATGAACGAGAGAAAGAGGAGCAGTGATGGGATTACCACTCTTCAAACTCCACTTTTTCGGGTGACCAATCGTGGACGATGGGAAAGAGGAGAGAAAGGGTTGTACTTGGGAATGATTCCATGCAGACCTTTGGATGATGGAGACGGGCAAGCAAGACGCAATATTTGTCTTTTCTGAAGTGTTTTGAGAGTGTATTCTACCTCAGTGCCAGCCTTTTGTAATGGATTGGTGGATAAGAAAGTGACTGGAGAAATTTTAGAGGTTAGGATGTTAAGAATCTTCTGAGCTATGCTACTGAAAGTGGCAAAAGGGTAAGTTTGCCAAGCAGTGGGTCCCATGACCTTCCCGTGAGCCATGACCACTGCCCCTGCGCTTTTTAACTTCATAATTCCTTTCAGCGAAGAGTTTAGCAGGTAAGGAAAGCATATTTGAGCTCACATCCCAAGGCGCGTATCGAGATATAGATCTCACTTCAATTGGATGGTTGACCAAATGACCTTCCCTGGTCAGTCATAATTTTTTTTTCAAAATGTTGCGGGTTAACAAGATCAAAATTGCTGGATCGGTGCCGATTCAGCTGAAAACGTTACATTCGTATTGAGTTTATTGGCTAGAAGGTTCTAATCCTACCCCGCCAGCTGAATCTCCTCAAGGATCCGGAAAGTATGAACATGACCTTTTTGGAAGTAACAAAAGGAATGAAACCAGTGCTCTGTTTGGTATACGTTATAATTGCACACAATTATCACAAACACAAAACTAACCTATCATTATGAATCACAGCACCCCTCCACCATCAGTTTTCAGGATCACTGAAAGCGCCACTACGCCATATCCATGTGACCCGCCTGACTCTTATCTTCTTTCATCGCCAATTCCATGTTAGATAAGCTTTCAACTATTTGATACTTCACTTACGTCAAAGCTAGCCTGCTACATTCGCGCCATTTCGCTACGGCCGCAGGGTTTGCTGTTGTTACATGTTTCAGCTGCGGAAAAGTCAGTCACGCAAAACCGCCACCCTCAACAGGCGCGACTAGAAGCAAAAACATTGTTTTCTGTCCCAAAAACTCATGACACAATTCAGCTTCGTGGAAGCCAAAACCTTATTTCGAGTTTTAGCTTTTCAAGCCTCTGTGGATACAGTAAACTCTAGTTCTTCTTTCGTAACGGCATTCCGAAAACTGCAGAAACATGCTCCTGTTTCAATCTTCCCCCTTCCCTCCCTTACGTCAACATCTCGGGGTAGCATCGTAACTACTGTTCAACTATAACTAGATGAATTTGAGTATTTAGAAAATTCCTTTTGCATAAGAAGCTAGTGAAGAGCGTAAAATCACCTTCTTCAACTGCGTCAGCACGTCAATATCCACATTCTCGTCCAGGAACGCTTCCTTCACTTGACTAATCACATCTTGTATCACACCTTTGTATATTTCAGCCTAAATAACGATCAACGAATTGATTGTTATGCTAGAAGCCATCATGTGAAGTGACCGCTGTAACTTTATCACTAATTTGAAGAAATTGAACGGGCGCGAGCGTTTGCGATAAAAAAAAAGAACAGCGCCAAGTAATTACGAGGAACAGGTTTGGTCACGGTTTTAGACATGATGTAATTTGCGGTTGAAGGAAAACTCACAATGGTGTTCCCTCCTGACTGCGCCATTTTGCTCACCACACTGCAAAAGACGCCGGCCTGAATCAAAATCTCAATAAATATTTGTTAATATTACTACAGCATTGAACATTTATCAAAGAAAATATAGATGAAATCCCTTCAAAGCTATACAGAAACATTACGTTACATAAGACCACCAATATTGGCTGAACGTAGTTTACGAAATATTTGCGACGCCCAATTAATCACGCAGCAATTTAAGAAAAGTGTTGTCTGTGAAACTGTGCAATTTCTGCCTTATCATTTAAATATGAAATCCTGCAAGTGAACTTTCCATTGGTTGTCATCTTCGTAGCGCATAAGGCAATTGTACAACTGCATATACTTTCCTTCAAAGGCCTATGACTTCATCCAAAGTGAACCCCAGCTATAAATGGAAGGTATCAGCTCAAATGTCTAGCCGAAACAGAAGGAAGGTCATCACCATTTCTTTGGCTGTTCTACTAACATCACAAATAGAACTTCCAACAGATTACCAAAAAATTGTTAATGTCCAGACTGCAAAATTCAAAATGAAATGCATCAACTTCTTAGCCCCTTACCGCTTAGAACTCTTCATTCTACCAAATGCATCGTTTTCGTAGTATTATGCAGAATGAAGACCATCACCTTATGAAGGTTCTAATGTCCTCAAACACTCACCGATTTACGCCGCTGACTGACGGTCGACTGAGTATTTATACACGCACGATCGTGTGACGTCACTCGACAAACGACGGTGGTTAGATGCGCAGGTGGGCGTGACTTGGCACGAAAACACTGAATTGGAGCGAAGTTTGAATTTGCTCCCAAATGTTTCTGGGGCGCATTTTACGAGATATAGACTGACCCGAAGGGTAATCTTCTAAAGAACAGCTCGCACGTCCACCTATATCCATTGTGAATTTTGACTTGTTTTTTGTTTGTTGACTGTTGTTTTGTCGCAGTTCGCCTTGCGAATGTTTCACAAGTATGCTGGGTTGTGAACAAAACCTTCGCATCAGACGGCGAACCCGCAACTCTTGCTTACCGGGCAAGTGCGCAACAAGTTACGCTACCGAGGCACCATTTTATCCCAACTCAGCTCCTTATGGTGTGCGTACCATAATATCCATTGTGTTTCGCACGAATAAATGGTCCATGAGGATTGAATAGGATTGAAGCTTCACTTTTGAGATAGTGGGAACGGTGGAATGAATGAGAATTGGAGGTTGAGCCAAAGGCCACTGGGGTGGAAATCTTGAGCAAAATGGAGGAGGTCCAGATGATGATGATGGGCTTGTTCGCATTTTCCCACAGAACCCCTTCCCTTCTGTAAAGCTTGGCCCAAGTGCTGAAAGTGGCTCACTCACTCCCTAGCCCAACGACATGAGCGCCAAGAAGCATAATAGCGTGTAAAAGAACCGCTTCTCTGCTCGATAAATTAAAGCCTAGAGAGGATGCAATTCATCGCTAATGAAGACCGGCGTCAGACTCGGCGATTGCGTCGCTGGTGTCCCGAGCGCGGAGGCGCCAGCGCACGGAGCGCGCCACGAGCCGGACCAGCGACGAGCGGCGAAGCGACGGAGGCGCGCAGCGACGGGGCGGGCCAGCGAGGAGCCGCCGCGACGGCAGGCAGCGACGGAGCCGCCAGCCACAAGAAGTGGGCTAACGGGCGATGACTCATGCACACGATCGATATAGGTTGGCAGGGGGGGGGGATTAAAGCCTTTGACGAAATGCGGATCTTTGGAGCGAAGCGTGCTTCGTGGACCGCGCCTCTTTTTGGCGCGACCGAAATTTTGCTCAATCATTATGACAAAATTTTCCCTGACGCAGTTTTCTTTTGAATTTTTGACTTTACCAATATACAAAATGTAATACAGATGAGAAGCTTTCGATAGTAGACATTGCTGGGTAACGTAATTGAAGGTTTGAACGGTCACTCGGATTTCAAAGGGATGGTGGTTAAAAACTCTAGAAGTTCATATCGTACTAGAAAGATTTTGATATAGTTTCAACTTCCTCAATGTGTCTAAACTCATGCAAGACTTAGAGGTCTGATCGGTAATTGACGCTTAGCTTCATTATTAAAAGACCTAGTTATTATGTTCCGACGAAGTGCCAGCATTCCAAAATTTCATACACTTAGTAGTCCGGTGAACGATGATGCGTGTGATGATGTTCATCGCCGGTTGCCCACTCTTGTGGTGGCGGCCCGTCGCTGGCGGCTCGTGCGTGGCGCTCCGTCGCTGGCGCTCCGTCGCTGCGGCTCCGCGCTGGCGGCTCGATCGCTGGCGGCTCGTCGCTGGCGTCCGTGGCTTGCGGGCTCCGTCGCTGGCGGCTCCGTACGCTGGCGGATCCGTCGCTGGCGCTTCCCGTCGCTGGCGGCTCGTGGTGGCGGCTCCGCTCGCTGGCGGCTCGTCGCTGGCGGCTGCCGTCGCTGGCGCTCCGTCGCTTGGCGCTCCGTCGGTGGCGCTCCCCGTCCAGCTGCCGGGCTCCGTCGCTGGCGCTCCGTCCGCTGCGCTCCGTCGCTGGCGGCTCCGTCGCTGGCGGCCTCCGTCGCTGGCGGCTCCAGTCGCTGGCGGCTCCGTGCTGGCGGCTCCGTCGCTGGCGGCTCCGTCGCTATGGCGGCCTCCGCGCTGCGCTTCCGTCGCGGGCCGCTCCGTGCGCTGGCGGTCTCGTCGCTGGCGCTCCGTCGCTGGCGGCTCCGGTCGCATGGCGGCTCAGTCGCTGGCGCTCCGTGCTGGGCTCCGTCGCTGGCGGCTTCCGTGCTGCGCTTCCGCCTCGCTGGCGGCTCCAGTCGCTGGCGCTACCGTCGCTGGCGCTTACCGTCGCTGGCGGCTCCGGTCGTCTGGCGGGTTCGCGTGCTGGCGGCTCGTCGCTGCGGCTCGCGTCGCTGGCTCCTGGTCGTGCGGCTCGCGTGCTGGCGGGCTCCGTCGCTGGCGGCTCCGTGAATGGCGCTCGGCGTCGCTGGCGGCTCCGTCGCTGCGGCTCCGTCCGCTGGCGGCTTCCGTCGGCTGCGCTCGTCGCATGGCGGCTCCGTCGCTGGCGCTTCCGTCGCTGGCGTCTGCCGTAGCTGGACGGCTCCGTCGTGGCGGCTCGTGGCTGGCGGCTCGTCGCTGCGGCTGCCGTCCGCTGGCGCTCCGTCGCTGGCGCTCCGTCGCTGGCGGCTCCGTCGCTGGCGGCTCCGTCGCTGGCGCCCGGTCGCTGGCTTCCGTCGCTGGCGGCTCGTCGCTGGCGGCTTCCGTCGCGTGGGCTCCGTCGCTGGCGCTCCGTCGCGGCGGCTCCGTCGCTGGCGTTCGTCGCTGGCGTCGTGCTGAGGCTTCCGTCGCTGGGCGGCTCGTCGCTGGTGTCCAGCGAGCAATCGCCGAGTCATGACGAGGTTGACGAACGGAAAGAAAATGAGTCAACTTTGTCCCATGGCGCACATCAAAAATTTTTCATCGGGCACCGGATACGTTGTGAATGATGTTTACGGCAGAATATTCGCTTAGGTGCCCCCCGCAGCGCAGAAAAGAGGCCTCCTTCACTGCCCCAGCGCATCTTCAGAATATGACGTCATAGCGTCACGTCGGCTTCAACGAGGCTTAGCGTAGTAGCTCGCGCCTGAAGCTGATACATAATTTCTTCAATGATTACACTGCTGAAGTAGCTTCTCAGAGAACTAGCTATGCCTATGCACGACCCGCTTTTGACCGCATTGTTCAAGGACGTCCGTAATGGTTATGGTACTCGAGACATCGCTGAGCTCGTATCGTGACCGTTGCCCATGGAAATCTTACCTGAGCTCGTAGGGTGTACGAAGCTGCCGACGCAGACTTTTTGATAGGTTTAGACTTTTGCTCTTCACATATACAGTCTGAGAGCTACTTAGGCTTTGGTTTTGCAACATGTATCTAAAGCCGTTTTTGAATGTGTAGGGAAGTAACCTTTCTTTTCGCCCCGGACTTATAATAAATATAACAATGTAATAAAAATATAATAATAATTATAATATAATATAAGTTAAATAAAAATATTCACGGTATATCAGTTCTGATAGCTAGTCAGTTCGCGTTGCAAAGATCCGTTATCAGGCAGTTTGGTGGAACCAACTAATCTTTTTATCGATGCCACTCCCTTGACACCTTTCAAAATCACGTCACCCTTCAGTTGACACCAGTGAGAGTAGAGTACGTACACGGACTACATGATATGCTCAGCACCTCCTCCAAAAAGTCATCCATTGGGCTGCGATTGCTGATCGCCCAACAATCCCATTCAAGGTAGAAAACCAGCAGATTACAGCACTTATTTCGGGTAGAATTATTCAAAGAACAAGGACGGGTCGAAGAAAAAGGAGTTGGCTGTTTTCCATTTGTAAGAATCGTGCTCCAGTTGGAAAAGTTCGTGCGACACGCGCCGCAGGGGCAGCAAGCTTTCGTATTCGCGACTCGCACCAGCTATTTTTCACACATATGTCCCTCATTTGCCCTTATTCCATAAATTTGGCCATTGCCTAATTCCCAACTTGTTGTTTCGAGCCGTTGTAAGTTGAGTCAGCCATTGCCTCTCTTCAGCGCTGCGCTCTACATGTCTGTCTGCATGAGCTGTGGTCATGACAGTGGGGCTAAAGCCGGAAATTCTCGACAGGGTGCTAGCATTGCCTTTGTTGAATGGAGAGGGTAGCAAGAGCGTGAGTCAGAGATGGAAACAATGGTGCGGCTGTCACTCCTGCGTACCATGTGTGTGTGTTTTTTTTTCGGAAGTGTCTATCACGCCAGTACCTTGTGATAGAATAAGTGATTGGTAAGACTTTGCTGGAAAGGATCTTCAGTTGGATGGGCTTCTTTGAAGGCTATGATTTGTGGTTTAATTGATCAGTGTGAGAAAATGGGGAGGAATTATAATCTGGAAGAAGAACCAGGAGGATCCGAGCTTCCTGCTGCGCTCAAAGGAATGCAGTAACTCGTGAGCATAGACGAGTCAAATGTCTCATTGATGACTCTACACCTGAACCTTCTTGATCCTCGTACCGCAGCCATATTTGCGCCGTTGCTAGGAGCGTACGTAATCGCAAATAAAAAAAACCGAATTAGGAAAATACTTGAATTTTGCTGTAGGACTAGCAGCAGGTAACCATCGTATAAGCTTAACATCTTTCAATTTTCAAAAGGAAACCAAGCTCATGGCGCGAACCAGAAGAAATCCATCAGTGATGAATCGATGAACATAATTAACATAATTGCGATTCGATAACATAATTGCTTATTCAATACATTCGGGAAACGTGATCTGGAGACTTTTCAAAGGTAATGGATTAAGTACATACCTTACAATGAACTGGAAATACGTTTTCGAGTGGTTCGACATTTCCTCCAACCTCTTCGCCGAAACTTTGCGATCTATGAAGCATTTGCATTATATTAAGCGCCTTTGAGGAAGGAGTAGTCCTGTTTTTATCAAAGAAAGCCTTAATTTTTGCTAAGCTCGACAACGAGAGTGGTATAGGGTGGTCTCCTATTCAGACTGTAGATAGACCGTACAAATTTATCACTACCTTACTCTTCTCTTCATTTATTGGAAGATCACAAATGAAAAAGTCATGTTGTTCAAACAGGGGTGCATTTGCAACCTGATATTTTCTCGAAGTGAAGCTTTCCAGCTTGCGAGGCACGATACTATCCGCGATCACGGCAGTGACTGTGTTGAGCACGGAGGCCAGGTTCCTATTAGCGTAATTGTTTGTACTTATTTGCAACCACTTGCAACCGCTTGATCTCCTTCCTTGATCGATGTCTGTTCTGCCCTTCATTACTTTCTCACAGTTATCCTGTGAAAGTATTTGTATTCAACGGGAATAAGCACATTTTCTTTCACTACTTAAAGTTTTTGCCGTGCGACATTAATGACTCCGTTAGGGATAATGGATAATATGCTAGCTCACGAACCTTTTTGAGGTGCACCTCGTCTTCTATATGCACTCATTAATGGAGTCAGGTGGTCTCAAACGGTCCTAAAAGATGAAATAGTCGTCAGCTTAAGCAGATTTATTCTTATTGTCTAATCCCGGACTAGGGTCAAGCAGGGCGTTCGGAAAACTGACCAGAAAACGCTTTGAACTTCTCATGGAACTTTGGAATGAGACCTGACGAATCGATAGTCTCGAAGGCTGAATACAAGGACACCGAAACTGCTACGTGGACTTCCTAAGAAAGCTATGAGCCTTCAAAGTTGGCAAAAAACTCACTGAGGAGAGCTTACCTGGTGGAATCACATTTGCCGTGGCGTGTCAAAATGAGTCTCAAATTCGTATTCAGGGCACCCGTTTACCCTTGCAGAGCATGTTCCAGACAAAAAGCAACCTTATTCTCTTATACATAAGTTGCACATTATTATTAGCGTTCTTTTGCAGCTTTCAAGGCTCACAGCTTTCTTACAATGTCCACGTAGCACTTTTAGTGTCTATATTCGTAATCAGCGTCCAAGACGCTATTGATGTACCAAGTCTCCTTTCAAAGCATGGGAATTCCAAAAATTCCCTGGTGAGGTACGCCCCACCTCCAGTAACAACTCTTCTCGGTTACAGATGTCATGTGAAGAGGTGCGATTGCTCTTGGAACGCATGTGATGACATTGGAGCGCTTATGACCGGGAACATGATGAAAATTGCACACTACTCAAATGTGCATAACTTTCCTCAGAGTGGACAAGTATTTGAAAATAAGTGGATTAGGAAGTTTTGACGAATGCTTTCTAATTAGTGCTGAAATTGCGTAAAATATTGGGATAGTACTGTTTCGGATAATCAAAGTTCTTGAGAAGGTCAAGTTTTTAGACTTTCAAAATAACCTCTATCAAATGCGATAATTCAGAAAGCTTGAAGGAATCTTCCACGGAAAGACTGCTTATCCCTTCCTTGTGTACAGGTGTTGGGTATGATCATTGATGATCATATGCAAAGTTCAGAGCGAAAATGATGAAACCCACAAGAGAAACAGCCCTTGGAAAGACCCATCTGTTGGACCGGATTGGACCAGTAGACGGGACCGGAAGTGCTTCTGTGACGAAGTGCGTGACAGATGCGTATCCGCGTGTCAGTTCATGGAAAGGGTCCAACATGAATCCTGTTCACGTTCACGCTTTTGACACGTTTGCACGTGTTGACCTCACGCCGCTAACGGTTGTGGAATTTTTACAGCGGGAATTCAATTTTTTATAGTCGAATTGGTTATCTAAATATTATCAAAATCAACGCCTGTATTTCGTTCTTTTTGCTATCTTCATGAAGCAAGGGGCCTAATGTATCGTTTTTTGTAGGAACGGAGGCGATGTTTTTCCATGGAAGATTCCTTCAATGTCTTTTACTGAAAGGTTCTTCTCTTCTACGGTTATTAACATGACTTGATACGTTAAAAACGTCGAAAATGCGCCCGTTGGGAATTTCACACAAATAACGAGGAAAATTCTCGAGTTTTAAAAGCCATGATTTCCTTCAAATGCGTTTTCAGAAAATTTGACATGGCACTGTAATATAGGGAATACGCTGGATGCAAGGACCACTGCATAAAATGATTCAACACGATCAGAATGACAAAATAGCCCCATTGAGGATTTTCCTCTGAGGATTGGTCCGAATTCAGCAGAGGGACTCTCCTTCGTTGCGCTGTCACTCCTAAGCGATCATTGTTCCTCAATTCAATTTGATACAATGAAGGGCGCCTAGGAATTTAGAGGCTTTCTATTCTCTATTAAGAGTGGAAGTGCACTGTAAGGTTTCGACTTTCTCAAATGGTTATGTATGTTTACGAAGTTAACGCTGAAAATTGCAATTCTTCTAGAGTGAATTTTTAGTGAATTCCTTCTCGTCACATTGGCTAGTTCCTACCTGGAATCTCCTGATGTCTTACAAACTCACTTCCCCATAGAAACGGGTACTGAAGCGCTTAGCCTCGGTCAATCTCACTCAGGGGCACGCCGTGCACTCGGCGGCTTGCGCCAGTCGCGGCTCCCACGCAATCCCAAACAGGGCCACTGCTCTGATCATTACTGATCCCGGCACTTACGGCGGCCTCCTACCTCCCTCTGGACTTGATACGATCCCCCCCCCCCCTTCATCGAGGATTTCTCAACGTACGTTTGATCCTTCCACGGTCAACTCGCGTTGCGTTGGCGTTATGTTCCACCTTCTCTTCATTCCTTTACGATTGACGCTTCTTTCAGACAGTGGAGAAGGTGTTGGAGGATGGGAGTGGAAGGGTCGTAATGAGAACCTTGAACGGTGAGCCGTGTCGAAGGAGATAATCGATTCGATGCGGTCATTTCTCGTCGAGTGTGGCTGATTTTGCAACATGGCTTGGGCAAAAAGTACGCAGTTATGTAATCGCTGATAATTGA